AAAAAAAAGACAAGACCAAAAACATACAGTAAATAATTAAGTTGAATTAATGAATGAATGTATACCATAAGCATAATAATTGATTAGACCTCACTGAGACATATAGACAGCTACATATTACCTATGGTGATCAAAGATTTCCCTACTGATGCTTCATGGTGGGGTGGCAATACAAAAAGGTAACATGCAAGGTCCTAGGTATCTGTGGCAAATACTAAAATGAGATTTTTGGCCGGGAATGGTGGCATACACCTATAATCCTAGCACTCTGGGAAGCGGAGGCAGGTGTTTTGCCTGAGCTCACAGGCTCGAGACCAGCCTGAGCAAGAGTGAGACCCTGTCTCTAAAAATAGCTGGTGATTAGCTGACAATCAATGTATTAATAAAGAAAATATGATGTGTCTACACAACGGAATAGTATTCGTCCATGAAAACAAATGAAATCTTGTCAGCTGCAGCAACATAGATAGAACAGTAGGTCCTTACATTAAGAAAAATAAGCCAGAAAGACAAATACCACATATTCTCACTCATGTAGGAGCTAAAAATGTCAATGGCATAGAGCTAGAGAGTGGAATGGCAGCTACCAGAGGCTGGAAGGTAGGGTGAAGAGGGAATGATTAATGGGTACATACATACTGTTAGATAGAAGGAATAAGTTCTAATGTTCCACAGCACCGTAGGGGTGATTACAGCTAACAGTGATTTACTGTGTATTTTTGTAGTGTCTAATTTCTGTTGTAAAATAGAAGAGGAGGTTTGAAATGTTCTCGACATAAAGAAATGATAAATGTTTGAGGTAATATACATATCCTATATACCTTGATTTGCTCATTATACATTGTATACAGGTATCAAAATATTATGTACTCCTCAAATATGAACAACTATTACTACATATGTATAAATAAAAAAACTTAACTAGTTGAAAAAAGGGAGAAATGATGAGAGAAAATAGGAGAAACAAGCATTTGAGTGATGGATACCATAACTAACTGCATGATTCTGTTGGGCAATTTACTTATTGCTCTGCTGCCTTATTTATTATTATTATTTTACTGTAAAAAGAAATATACCACAGTTAGTTCTACTTTTAAAATTCTAAGTCCAAATTACGGACAGTACTACAATGAGACAGGATATACGTTGTATGTAAGGCATAATACAGAACTGAAATATAAAATATTTATTACCTCTCATTTTCAACACAAAGTTTCTTGTACTCTGCAGCTACCATCTCATGGTTTTTATTTTCAAGCAGCATTTTTTCTTGTTCTATTTTGAGCATCTTTTCCAAATCCTCCAACTGTCCTTTCTGTTTTAGTAACTGATTATAACTAGGGGGAAAAAAGGTATTTAGTGTACATAATTTCCAAAAAAGAAAATAATTTTAGAAATGAAGGAAATAAGAGTAACTTATTAATAAGTACTACACAAAATACATGCAAATTTATAGACATTTCCTAGATAAATTACCTATTACCTATATTTAACATATAACATTTATTAAACTCCTCAAAGAAAATTGAGTTTAAATTCACAGCACAACAAATATAATAAATTACCGGTCTTCGAGATCTTTATGTTCCACCTCAAGATTTTTGTGGGCAGACTTTAGAGTTCCATGTTTAGAGATAAGAGATTCATATTCTGAAGCCTGCCGTTCATGAAGAAGTTCCAGCTTTTCATGATCTTTGATCAGAGAATCATAGAGAGATTTTAGCTCTTCTCGTTCTTTGATTACAGATTCATTTTCATTTTCTAAGGAAGACTGCTGGATTAAGAGCTGTGCATTCTGGTTCATAAGTGAGGTACTTTGGGAATTAAGGGTGGAATTTTCAACCTATAAAAATGCATGTAGTTATCAGACAAGAAAAATAGTTCATGTTCTTTTTTTAAAAAAGAAGAGATTTATAATATTAATTTAAGGATGCTGTAAATTACAGTAGATACCTTTACATTATAATTGGAAAACTTGGTTCTTAACTTTCCAAAGAATAAGGGTACCATTTAATTTTGATTTTTGGAGGTGTTGTGATATATATAACATATATCATATGTGTATATGTACATGTGCATATACTTTGGATTGAATTTATTTTAAATGAAAGTGATTAGCAACTATTTGTATTCCACTTATGAAAGGGTACAGAATTTGAAATGCTAGTTTACAATTACTAGAATTTAGGAGTTGACAGAATTAAAAAATTACTTTTGTTAATTTCTCACAAGTCTAAAGTAATATTTCCTTTATCACTTGGAAAAGAATACAGAAAAAACTTTTAGATTCAGAGAGGGAACTTCTTTTGTTCCTTAGGAGGTTTCACAGAGTTGTACTGTTTGAAAAGATACTGGTAGGTGATGTTAAGTGAAAGATAGACCCTTTGAACTAAGGACAAATTTAAAAACAAAATTCCCATGTTGTCTTTTTTTTTGGCGGGGAGGGGAAGACAAAGTCTTACTATGTTGCCCTCTCAGTAGAGTGCCGTGGTGTCACAGCTCACAACAATCTTGAATTCCTGGGCTTAAGTGATTCTCTTGCCTCAGCCTCTCGAGTATCTGGGACTACAGGCACCTGCCACAATGCCCAGCTATTTGTTGTTGTTGTCATTGTTGTTTAGCAGGCCTGGGCGGGTTTCGAACCTGCCAGCCTTGGTGTATGTAGCTGGCGCCTTAACCACTGAGCTACAGGCACCAAGTCTGTTGTCTTTTTTTTTTTTTTTGTTATTTCTTTTCTTCTGCTAGTTTGGGATGGATTGTTCCTCCTTTTCCATTTCTTTAAGATGATTCATTAGACTGTTGATGTGTTCTCTTTCTGTTTTTAAATGTAAGCATCAAATGTGATAAATTTCCCTCTTAAGTTGTCTTGTTTTTTAATAACTAAACTGATAAGAAAGGCCACAAAGTAAATATAAATTATCTTTGCTCATTTATATTTGGGTGAATTTTTTTTGCAGTTTTTGGCCGGGGCTGGATTTGAACCCGCCACCTTCAGCATATGAGGCTGGTGCCCTACTCCTTTGAGCTGCCCTATATTTGAGTGAATTTATTAATTAATATCTAGAGGCTCTGACATTTTAGAAAGTGCTGATGTGTGAAAGTTTGGCATGGCGCTAAATTTAAAAACGTTTAATTTATCTTCAATGAATTAATTGTTAAATTCAATAAGAAACAATGTTCCCCATGTTTAGTTTCCCTTATTTTAATAACATAATTCAAGAAATCAGCAGCATATCACCAAAATAATACATTACAACCTGAAGCTTGGCATTCTGTGTTTGGAGAGTGGTATTCTGTTCCTGCAGGGACACTGTCTGCCTCTGAAGTGCAAGAATTTGAGCCTGCAAATTACTGTTCTGTGTCTCAAGTTGTTTCAGTTGAGTTTTCAATGCTTGCTTCTCTGCTTGCAGTGTAGCATTCTTGATAAAAGAAAAAAATCCACACATATTAAAAATAAAAGCAACATCAGATTTCTGTAATAGCATGAAATTTTGTATAATGAGCACTTACTACTATCATGATCCAAAAGAAATCCAACAATCTTAAAAGAGAAAAACCCCAAAATTCCCCCTCTGTCCTAAATTGTAAACAGACATTTAATCTAAGAAAAAGAAGGCAATAATACTAAAATCTTAATATAATATTGTGCCTGTGTCCCATCTGCCTTACAATATACTAAAAACAGAATATTCCTTTCTAAATGTATTTGTTAACCCAAGAACTAGGATGGAGTTGCTAGTTGTATGGTTTTAATACTGCTCAAAGCATCCAGAGTGCCCACAATAAGTGAGGCTATGTCCAGGTAAGGAGGTGTGCCAAAGGCAAATGTACACATAGGTGAGTGGTGTTCTCAGGGATAGTAGGAAAACCAATATTTGAAGGACAAGGTTTAGAAGAACCATCTTAACCATCTGTTTAAAAAATATATTCCATAATCAACCTAACAGATGTTACACATTTTCTTTAGTTATTTTAGTTTATATCCTTTAGTATTTTAGTGGCATACAATTCTTTACTATTTTAGTGGTAAAAATACTCATTAACATTTTATTCAACTACAGGACTTCTGGAGCATATCCAAACAAAACACACCATTCTCAATTTTTCCAGTATATATGGCCATATTTCTATTTTTATAGTGAAAAGGTAAATTACTATGCAGACCATATTTAATGTGATAGATATTAAAAATATTTGTCATAGATATAATTTTAGTATTGTTTCTAAATAAAATTTCATGAAAAATCAATTAGTATCAATGAGTATAAACAAAGAACGTTCCCCAAAACAGAAATAAAACTATAACACATAGTATACAAAAGGGTGTAATTGGTCTATGCAAAAAAGTTACAAGTAAATCATAACAGATCATTTTTATCACATTTCTATAGAAAATAACATTCACTTTGTTGGCTTTCATGTTATACCTACAATATGCCACTGTGTAAAAGGCAGGTAATGCGCTTTGACCCACATATTATACCACAAAATCAAAGCCGAAGAAGCAAAATTCTTTAAGATGTGTCTTTATACTTGTGTGTAATACTTCTCTTTTGTTCAGCTGTTCAAATAAAAAGGATGAAAAAATTTAAGCTGGCGGGAGCACCCATAGCTCAGTGGGTAGGGTGCCAGCCACATACACTGAGGCTGGCGAGTTTAAAACCAGCCCAGGCCAGCTAAACAACAATGACCACTATAACAAAAAAATAGCTGGGCATTATAGCGGGTGCCTGTAGTCCCAGCTACTTGGAGGCTGAGGCAAGAGGCTCACTTAAGCCCAAGAGTTTGAGGTTGCTCTGAGCTGTGATGCCAAGGCACTCTAACAAGGGCGACATAGTGACACAAATTCTGTCTCAAAAAAAAGAAAAGAGAATTTAAGCTGGAAAAAATAATATGTTTATGGATTATGATATATTTATGTACCATTTGGAAACAAAGAAGTGAAAAAATTTTCACTTACATATGTGAAATACCATTGTAGGTTAAGACTTTAGAAACTAAATCATACAAACTCAACTGATCAGGTATTTCTAGGAATAAGAAAAACTCCTCTAGTACTTAATGAATGTAAGAGTTAGCTGAAAGGGTATCTCAGAGCAGGAAAAAACTTACAATGGGAAAGAAAGAACTGAGTAAATATAATACTGGCAAATAAAAATACCAGTCTATCATAGGACTAAGTTTGTTTATAACCCTTTTATCTAAAATGACTAACATGACAAACAAGTAATTTTTTTTCTAATGGAAATTTATTAAGGAAGTCAATGGGGAAAAGAGATTTACCTTATAGAACTTTATGTATAAACAGTTCAATTTTCTAAAATGTAATTATGAATATAAGTGACAAAAGTATGTGTGTGTGTGTATATATATGTATAAATAGGTTTTTATAAATAGCCAATAAATATGTGAAAGATGCATAACACCGGCTCGGCACCTGTGGCTCAAGCGGCTAAGGCGCCAGCCACATACACCCAAGGTGGCGGGTTCGAATCCAGCCCAGCCCACCAAACAACAATAATGGCTGCAACCAAAGAATAGCCGGGCGTTGTGGCGGGTGCCTGTGGTCCCAGCTACTTGGGAGGCTGAGGCAGGAAACTTGCTTGAGCCCAGGAGTTGGAGGTTGCTGTGAGCTGTGAAGCCATAGCACTCTACCCAGGGGCTCAGCTTGAGGCTCTATCTCAAAAAAAAAAAAAAAAAAAAAAAAAAAGATGCGTAACACCTCACTCATAATTTAAAACATGCAAATTAAAACATTTTCTCCTATGGGTTTCTTATACCCTCAATGAATCCCCAACAATAAAGACAAAATAAAACATATTTTCTCCTGTCACTATAACAAAAATTAAAATGTTAACCTGGAAAGGCAGGTATACTCTATTAGTAGAAATGAAAATTGATATGATTTTGGGGGGGGCTAATACCAAAATAAAAATCCATTAAAATTAAACACACACATACACAGACACATAGGATGTACATATATCCTTTGGTTTATTTAGCAATTCCACTGTCAGGAATTTAGAACCTTAGGAACATGTTCAAAGATAGATTTTCATTGCATAAAAACCTAAAAACAGCCTAAATGTCCAGAAATGTGGGATTTGTTTAAGTAAATTATGGGAACAATATTAATATGTAGTCATTAAACAAATGAGATACATCCATATCTGCTAAAATAGAGATATCCAAGACAACATAACTGAAAAATACAAACAGGAATTTTATATAGCATTAACTCCACAGGTAAAAATCTGTCAATGAAACATATGCAGGGTTTTGGGCGGACTAGAAGGGGAAGGGGAAGGCCAAATATAAAGATACTCTATAATCTAGGTGATAGATGATAGTATTTTTTTATTTTTTTTTGAGACAGAGTCTCACTATGTTGCCCCTGGCAGAGTGCCATGGCATCATACCTCACAGCAACCTCAAACTTTTGGGCTTAAGTGATTCTCTTGCCTCAGCCTCCCAAGTAGCTGGGACTACAAGCACCCACAGCAGCCCCCAGCTATTTTTTGTTGCAGTTGTCATTGTTGTTTTTAGCAGGCTCGGGCCAGGTTTAAACCCACCAGCCCTGGTGTATGTGGCCAGAGGCCTAGCCACTGAGCTCCGGGCATGAGCCAGATGATAGTATCTTGAGTTGAGTGGTAGCAGCAGAGATGGAGAGGAGTAGGTGGGTTGGAGTTACATTTCTAAGACAGAGTTGACACAGCTTGCTGATGAACTTACATGACGTTGATAAAAAAATGTACATTACTTAGTTCTTCTGTCTTTTTTATATGTACTATAAACGAAGTCAGCCATGAAAGTATAAAATGAGCAAAATTACAAAACCAAAAGAGAAAAAATTTTTAAGATAAATATGTCTAATAATCCTTTATTTCTAAAAAACCATTCCTACTGAAAATTTAAAACCACTTACGTTTCGTTCTACTTCAATTAACCTGTCTTTAACTTTCAGAAGCTCTCTAGTGGTTTCCTGACTTTCTCTCTCCCATTTGTTATCTTCGCCAGATACTGGAGGAGAGCTCTGAATCATCCTTTCCTCATCTTGTCTTTGTTTGAGAGCTTCATAATTTTTTTTCACCTAAAATATTAATGGATAGAAAAAAAATTACCGAAGTTATATTTCTCACAATTAATTTGACTCTGCACTGGTCTGGTGAATGTGAGAGACACTTCATTTCCTAACAACTAAAAGTATATTACAAATGTCTTACCACAAAAAACAAGTGAGGTGATGGTTATGTTAATCTGTTTCATTTAAGCATTCCACATTGTACATCAAATCATCACATTGTACCTCCAAATGTATATAGTTATGATTTAATAAAAATTAAAAAACTCAATATTGACAGATAAATTAAATTTTTCTTTATAAAAAAACAAATCAAAAGCCAAAAGACTTTCTATATATCAAAACAATCAGACAGAAAAAAATAAAATAAAATGTAGTCAGCTATCATCACTCGAGTTTAAAGAAAAAAAATTAAATGTGATAAAATGTATGAAAATTACCATGATCATAATTTGTGCTTTAAAAATCCTAACCCTTTCTGTCTAGAAATATTAAGTATACTCTGCTTATGTGACATGCTCCTATAATATATATGTAATTTCAAATTTCACTGTTTATAATAAATATGGTCTGAAGAACAGATCAAGTGGAGAAGGTTGCTAAATACTAATGATTCTTCTTAGAGCTCTCTATAACCAATTTAGAAAGTTCACAGAAATCTCTAATGTCAAGAACAAGGAAAGAGTCTACAAATGTTAATAATTAGTCTTAAAGATACACCTAAATTAAAGTTGAGGAATTATCTATATGTCTGCCCTTTTAAGAAGGTATATTATCTAGAATGAACTATGTTAATAAATGACTTCTTTATTCAGATCTTCACATGGAATTACTATAATTTATCTTATAAGGAGTGAATGATTACCTTATTCAGGATTTTCTTTCTTTTCCTTTCGATACAGAGTCTCACTCTGTCAACCCTGGGGAGAGTGCCATAGCATCATCATAGTTCACGGCAACCTCAAACTCTTGGGCTTGAGCAGTCCTCTTGCTTCAGCCTCCCAAGCAGCTGGAACTACAGGCATGCGCCACCTTTCCTGGCTAGTGTTTTCTATTTTTAGTAAAGATGGGATTTTGCTCTTGCTCAGGCTGGTCTTGAACTCCTGAGCTAAAGCAATCCACCTTCCTCAGCCTCCAAGAGTGCTAGGATTACAGGCATGAGCCACCATACCTGTCCTCTTTTTTTCATATTAAATAGCGATAGGGTCTCCCTGTGTTGCCCAGACTGATCTTGAACTCCTCACTTCAAGTAACCGTCCTGCCTTGGCCTCCCAAAGTGCTGAGATTAAAAGTGTGAGCCACCATGCCTAGCCTTTTAAAGAATTTTTTAGTTTTAAGTTGATGTTCTCAAATCAGGTTGTATTCGTATCCAAACTGTCATCTAGTGGGAGGGTGACTATCATACAACTATATGAAGAGGGATGAGTGACACTGGCTATCTACTTGTATAACCTATAATCTTCTAAATAGAGTGACTCTAAATGTAACCTCTAATCATCTAGTTAGTCTGAACGTTTAATAGACTTTAAGCCCACTTCTTGTGGCATGCCAGAGACAATAAAAGGAATTAGAAGGGAGAGGGCTTGGTAAGCGCCCACTTAATGGGTACAATGTAGCATTATATGGCACACCGCACCGCCTGAGTGAAGGACTTAACTACAACTCAGATGCTAAAGCAAACCATGTAACTTAATCATACGTACTCATATTAACCTGAAATTTTAAGAAAAGGCAGAATAAACCAGAATAAGACTCTACTAATCTACCATCTACTAACCCTGCGGAATGGGCAAGTTCCTTATACTTCAATTTACTCAAAGGGAAAACAGTTGCATCTGCTTTGCTTGCTTACTTCACTGAATAATTCCAAATATCATAAGAAAACAGACCTAGAAAAGACATCCAACTTATAAGATCAAGTGCTTTCTTATACCACACATGTGATTTTCCTCTACTTGGTATGTTCACATCCATGTCTTTGTCTATCAAAATTTTACTTGACTTGTTAATAGGAAGAGAATGCCAGAGTGAAGTGTTAGTATCCCACTGAAAGATTTTCCCAATAAAATAAGCCTGCATCTTCTTCATCCTACCCCTTTAATTCTACATCTCTAACTGCATGAGGGACATTACACACATGAAATAGAATTAAATAAATTATGCCATATCCATATGACAAAGATGTGTTCAGAAATAATCTCAAAATTATGAAAATGAAGAAATAAGCTAAATATTGATAAAATGTTTAAGTTCTTCCCTAATTTACATTTTTTGTCCAAACATTTATAAAATAAATGATAATTATAACTCTTTTCAAGAAAATCACTTACCGTTTTAAGTTCTTGGCGTAATTGTTGGTTGTAATTTGTGGATTCTTCTAATCGAGCTTCTAAAGCAGCAATTTTTTCTTCTTTTATTTCAAGGGACTTCTTAAGAGTGGATTCTAATTTTGATTCCAGAAGTTTATATCTACTATCCAAGTGCAAAAATAATATAGTTCATTGTTGTAGGTCAGAAAAAAAAATTATTTTTATAACTTATAACCACAAATATTGATGCCATGAATAGATCTCAAAAGTCTTTTTTGAAAAGAAGTAAATTAAATTATTCTCTTCTTACTGCTCTACTTCCCCTTTTATTTCTAGTCATGAAGCAACAAAATCACTAAGTAAATTGAGCTCCAGATTATAGCCTAGATTGTCAAAAGCAACACTTAATACTTAAAAAATGGAATCTGGAAGATCGAAGTCCCAAAATATTCCTTTTGGTATTATAAGAATAGAATCTATAGAGAGAATGGACGGATTCATTTTATCATCAGGCACTTGCCTTTGATATTAATGTGGAAAATATTTACATAAGGAACCATGAACAGTTAACACTTAAAACTCATCAAAGACTATCTCTTCAGGATACAGAGTAATTAGAGTGAAAAAGGTAATATTATACTCATTCATGACACAGGATACTGGTGACAGCGGCAAGAGGCAGATACACGACTGTCAATATTCTAGTCACATTTTAAATGATGAAAACATGAATTGTGTTATTATTAAATCAATTTTTTTTCACAAAAAAGGACAGTCCATGGACACAATTTGAGTGTATCATAAACCAAAAATTATGATCCTTTTCTTATACCTAAGTCTCTGAAGACAAAACCAAAAAAAAACAGAAGTGTATACATGAGAAATTTCTGTATCTTCTGCGTTTTACTATAATTAATTTATATGTGTATATTTTCTGTTCAATCAGATTGTAAGTTCACTGAATACAGAGAACAAATTTCACTCATTTTGGTATTGGCTCAAGTCAGGAAACTTTTTTTTTAAACATTTACTGAGTCTGATTTTGGTTAAGTTGAATTTGTGACATCTGAGTTGCTTCTGGATATACAATAAGCAAAGAAATAAGGACCACAGGTGAGATGATGGATAGGAATGCTCATCATACAGAATGAATAAATAACAGGCCTGAAAAGATAACCCTAGAAACAACTATATTAAAAGAGATGACAGAGGAAAGGGGGCTATTAAAAGAGAAAGACAAGATTGATCACACCTGTTTACAACTCTACCACTACATTTACCTTGTTGCATTCTAATTTACCTACTTATACATTACATATATCTATATCTATATATATTTCCCTTCACTCCCCCAGATAGAGTGCAGTGGCATCATCATAGCTCACAGCAACCTCAAACTCTTAGGCTCAAGTGAGTCTCTTGCCGCAGCCTCCCAAGTAGCTGGGACTACAGGTGTCCACTATGATACCTGGCTAGGTATCATTTTCTTTTTTTCTTCTATTTTTAGTAGAGATGGAGCCTCACTCTCGCTCAGGCTGGTCTTGAACTCCTGAGGTCAAGGGATCCATTCACATTGGCCTCCCACAGTGCATGGGTTACACATGTGAGCTGCTGTGCTCAGCTATAAGAATAAGTATCTTAATAACAGTTATACCTTCAAAAACAAAAAGTTAGACTAATAATGGTATTAAGGCCATCACATGAGATTTATATAGATATATATTCCAAGCTGGAGGGCATGAACGTTGGAGGAATTTATGTTTGTGTGCTTCTATTTTCTTTGTGACGTGAAGGCTAGAAAGAAACCTGTTTTAGTGACATAAGACACTTCTTTCTTTGGCCAGGTGTGGTGGCTCACATCTGTAATCCCTAATACTCTTGGGAAGCCAAGGAGGATGGATTGTCTGAGCTCACAAGTTCAAGCCCAGCCTGAGCAAGAGTGAGACCCTGTCTGTAAAAAAATATAGCCGGGTGTTGTGGCAGGCCCCTGTAGTCCCAGCTACTCAGAGGCTGAGGCAAGAGAATAGCTTGAACCTGAGTTTGAAGTTGCTGTGAGTTATGATAACCACTGCAGTCTACCGAGGGTTACAAAGTAAGATTGTCTCAAAATGGAAAAGAAAGGACACTTCTTTCTTGATTCTCACAAAACAAACATAGTTATCAACTGCTCTCAATTCCATTTCCTAAAAGCTTTAGTTTAACATTCCTTAGCTCCATGTCTTGTGCTTTATTATGTATAAATTAATGTGTGGAATAATTAATACATTACATCTTGTCTAGACTATCATAAGAGTTTCCTACCTAGTCTCTGTGCCTCTAAATTCACCCTTTTAATCTATCCTTCATATCACTCTAAGAACTACTCAACACACTTTTGTGCTTTTATACAAATGCTTCCATCTGCATGGAATGCCCTTCCCCACTGTTTCTACCTTGCAAATCTGTATAATTCTTCAAAGTTCAGTTGAAGCATTATCACTTTTTTGAAGATTGATGATCAGCAGATAGTAAGACCTCAATTAAGACTGGCTAACTGATGAATTAAGGTTCAGAAAGAGCCACCAAACAGTATAGAGGACTCACCTAGAGCTGGGTTCATAAATTTATAATAAGGTGAATTAGGGCAGCTACATGGTTTATTCTACTTTTTCTTTTAAGAATATGCAGTTGCAGCATTTTTTACACAGAGAAAATAATAAATCTGTTTAAACAAAGAGGGGTGCAGTCTTTATATTAAAAGACAGTCAACTAAATTGGTTCTTAACTATCTGATTAATTCAAACAAAAATTTATCTTCATGAAATACCTATGTAATTCAATACTTCCTTGACTTGACCTGACTGCTAGTTTAAATGCCTCAAATTACTTCCCTTTATTATAGAACTAACCTTTAAAATATTAATCTATTCTATTTACTTTGAATATTCTCAAATTATGTTACCAAATCCCAAATAATCTGTATTAGTTTTTCCTATATACATTTAATACAGGATATAAATACTAGAACAGTAATGAGTAGATGATAAAATATTAATTGTATAATTATGAAAATTTCACTAGATTAATATCCAGTCAGCATAAAACAGTATTCTTAACTATACACAACTTCTTTTCTAGCTGGAACCATGTAGGTAACTAGATGCTAAATCATAGACTTGAAAATTAGATTAACTCAGTTTGGCAGACTATAATTACCATGAGAAAATAGAAATTTCTTTAAACCTATACTGATCATTTTTTAAATTAAAGGGTCTATGATTGCTTTCAGCCTTAGTTTTCCACATTATTTTTATGCCTTAATTGTTTCTCAGCATTTTCCTTTGTTTCATACTTTTTCTCTACATCTCCAGTCCACATTTTGCCAAATAAATAAATGGAACAAGTGTGACATTTATACATATGATTCAAATAAAAAATAACTAGATTAATTATGTATTTGAGAGAGGTAGGTTTGTTTGTTGTTAATGTCTTCTACTTTCACAGGCAATTATACCCTCTAATTTTCTGCTACCTGGGTGGCATCCTATTTTACTATTTTGTAACTGTATTTATATAATAACGTTTTAGCTTTTTGTTTTCTTTTACTGATACTAAATTGTTTTTTGTTTGTTTCTGAGACAGAGTCTCACTTTGTCCCCCTTGGTAGAGTGCCGTAGCATCACAGCTCACAGCAACCTCTAATTCCTGAGCTTAAGCGATTCTCTTGCCTCAGTCTCCCAACTAGCTGGGACTACAGGCGTCCACCACAACACCCGGCTATTTTTTTTAGAGACAAGGTCTTGCTCTAGCGAGGGTGGTCTCCAACTCGTAAGCTCAGGCAATCCACTCGCCTCGGCCTCCCACAGTGCTAGGAAGTGTGAGCCTCTGCACCCGGCCTATTAAATTGTTTTTGCTTATTACTATTTCTTTCGTTCCTTTTTTTTTTTTTTTTTGGAGAAACAGTTGCATTCTGTTACCCAGGCTAGAATGCCATAGCTTCACCCTAGCTCACAGCAACCTCAAACCCCTGGGTTTAGGTGGTCCTTCTGCCTCAGCCTCCTGAGTAGCTATAAGTACAAGTGTCCAAACACCTGGCTTGTTTTTTTGCTATTTTTAGTAGAGGCAAGGTCTTGCTCTTGCTCAGGCAGATCTCAAACTCCTGAGCTCCAGCAATCCTCCCACCTCAGCCCCCCAGAGTGCTAGGATTACAGGCATGAGCCACCATGCCCAGGCAATAGTTTTTTTTCTTACCCAACTTTTTCTATGAGAAGAAAGGAATCAGAAACAGGGTAAAATACATAAATGTTTTCTTTAGCTACTGTGGGAAGTAATTAATGTTTGAAGAAAAAATAGTTTGCCAAACAGACTTAATACTCACCTGTCATCAGTACTTTGCTCATCACATAATAGTCGCTCTTTATTTAATCCTATTTTCTCAAGCTCATGAGTTAATTTTTCAAGATCATTGTTCATCTGCTGAGTCTTCAATTTTTCACTCACCAAATCCTTATTTGTAAAAGGAATGTACAATACTTATAAGTGCCAATAGCTTAAATATCTAATAAAGTCAGATGAAATTCTAAATACATGATTTGAACCCGGAAATACAGAAATGTTATCACTGAACCTTTCCTTCATCATCAAAAAGTAGTTGAACAAAAAAATTATAATCTAACTGCAACAATTTTTTTCTTCTTTTCTTTGCTAATACTGTTTTTTTAGTAGAATGTTAAAAAATAAAAGGGAACCTCTTTACTTGTGAATACACACCTTAGATTTCAAAACTGTGGAGGGAAAAAAACATATGAACATTTACTCTTTAGTAATGAGCTAGAACTTTAGTATTTCTATGAATTTATATTGGATACAATGCTCCTCTTCCACCACAGCTGGAGTGAAAGAGGCCTAAGGTACTGGTCTGAAGAAGAGGGAACAGTCTTAGATGTTCAGGCACAAGGTATGTGTTATTCATGACTACAAGACTACAGAACAGAAGAAAAAAATTAAAAGGTCCCTCTCGATGCCTCATTAGCAAAAATGCAGACTGCTCAATGTGACCTTCTACCAGAACGCTACTTTTTAATCAAACATAAAGGGCTATCACATACCATACTGCAATAGGGATGGCAAAAAAGAGCCAGACAGACTATCTTCTGATTGGCACTAACAATGTTTCACTGCCAATCTACTCTTGTAAAAAGTTCAGAATTCTTCTCAACACACAGATCCTAAGAAACTACTAGATGTTCAGTGTTAACCTTTAAGTTTAACTCCATTTGCATTCCCGGTTTAGAAGTGAAAATTCATGGGGATTTGGAGACTGAAAGATCTGGATTTGAATCTAATAATCCATTTATTAGCTGTGTGATTCTGAGTAAATTATGTAATATTTCTGAACCTCAGTTTTCTAATCTGAAAAATAGATATAATATCTATAAAGGACTGCTTGGAAAAATTCTTTAAGCATACATAAATATAACTTAAATGAAGTTCTGAGTCCAGTACTTGGCACATAGCACTCAATAAATAATAGCTATCATGTTTCTTTTTTTTAATATTCAGTAAGAAACCTGATCAAATATTTTAATATTATTTTGAAATAATTACAATGTAGCAAGTCAGAAACCACAAGGGAATCTTATTACTACAAGTTCTGGAAAAATAAAAGTCATATACACTTTGTAGTTTAATACAAGTAGGAAACTTGCAACCTGTTTCTAGTTCTAATTCCAAAATTCTAATAAACCATGCAAAAGATAATGCAGATTGCTGATGGGTTCCAATAAAACTTCAAGAAATTTTGAGTTAAAAATGTAAAAAATACTTGCTTAAATTTAGGATAATATATTACCTCACGCAATGTAACCAAAGTTTTTATATCAATAGTTGCTCTTTTCACAAGCTCCTTATTTTCTTTCTCTAATTCTTTGAGGCGAATACAAGATTCTTTATATATACCAATTTCTTTGAATAGTGTTTTGTTTTCTTTTTCCAAATTTCCAATCTTTACATTATTTTCTTCTAATGTGGTATCTTTAATTTCTGCTTGTTGTCGGAGTCTTTTATTTTCCTTCTCCAATTGTTTCTTATCCTTTTCCAGTTGAGAAGTCTCTTGTTCTAAAGATTTATTTTCTTTTTCCAGCTGTTCTAGTCTTTTGCTTGATATTTTTAATTCTTCTAGGTTTTTTTGTAGTGTTTGATTTTCCATCTCTAAGTCTTGTAGTTCACCTTCTAATTGTTGGATTTTTTTATTGCTGTTCTCTAGAGCTTTCTGTAGCCTTTGATTTTCTGTATCTAAACCCTGGTAGCTAACTTCTAAGCGTTCTGTTTTCTTGAAAGATGCTTTCATGAGCTCCAAACCTTTCTTAAGTTGTTCTTTTTCACTTTCCAGTTCTTTGTTTTCTAGTTGTAGCTGAGCCATTTTCATGCTTGCACACTTCAAAGATTCCACATTCCTTCTCAGTTCTAAATTTTCCTCATCAAGTTGAGAATTCTCCTTTTCTAGGGATTCTAGCTGAAAAGTAAGGTTTTTAAAGCTATCCAATGTTTTTTTTAATTTTCTGTTGTCTCTTTCTAACTCTGAATTTTCTTGTTCTAAGGCTTCAATTTTTTCACAAGTGATTTTTAAATTAGTTATCTTTTTCTGTAACAATTCATTTTCTTTTTCAAGATGATGTAGCTCATTTTCAAGTTCTTCTGCTCGTTCTCCTTTTTCCTTATAATGTTCCAATTCTTTTCTAATTTGTCTCTTTTCAAATTCAATCTTGCTTAGTTTGCTACTTGTTTCTTTGATAGATTCATGAAGAATTTTATTTTCTTTTTCAATGTCTTTCACTCTTGCTTCAGCACTTATCTGAGAACGCTGCCTTAAAGAAGTTACTGTTTGATTTAGATGTTCATTTTCCTGTTCCAATATTTTAATCTAATTCAAAAAAGAAAGAAGAAAATTAAAACTATAATTAAGCAAAAACTAAGTACTGTGAATTACATAGTTTTTTTCTCTTCCAAAAATAGGAAAAGACCATAAAAAGGTGCTACATTAAAATGTCTTACTTTTATTTCTGATAAATGTTTATTGAACACCACTGTGTACACGTAGAGGACATGTACTGCCAGGTCTCTAAAGTTCATATCTTAAGAGAGTACACATTCTAAATGAATGATTAAGAGAGATGTATTCTCTATTAATCAAAATTAATCAGATTATTTATCATTACATGCTTCAAATTCAAATATAAATATAAGATGAAATACCAGCACACATTTCCTTAAGGACATAAGGTTTTACTTTCACACAGTGGGTCCTCAGTAAATACTGTATTATGTGTATATACACACACACATACAGGTGTATATGTGTGTGTATTCATTCCCCAAAAGTATTATAATTAGCAAATATAAAAATAACAAAATCACCTTTGACAGCTAACTCATCCAATGTATAGCATGGCCAAAATGACAGTTCTCATAAAAGAAGTGTGGAGGCCAGGCGCACACCTGTAATCCCCAGCACTCTGGGAGGTCGAAGCAGGTGGACTGCCTGAGCTCACAGGTTCAAGACTAGCCTGAGCCACAGCAAGACCCCATCTCTAAAAATAGCCCCATGTGTGGTGGGTGCCTATTGTCCCAGCTACTTGGGAGGCAGAAGCAAGAGAACTGCTTGAGCCCAAGAGTTTGAGGTTGCTGTGAGTTATGACGCCATGGCACTCTACCCAGGGTGACAAAGTGAGACTCTATTTAAAAAAAAAAAAAAGTGTAGATTCAGGCTTAGTTTTAGAATTTTTGTTCTTTAGCTCTAAAGAAATCTAGATTCTTATGGGTAGTCTGAGGACTATATCTGGACTATATAAAACAAATAATTTTACTACTTAAAATAAATTTCTTTTTTTCCCCCAAAGACACCCTCCTCCCTTTTCATTTAAATAAAAATTTTGAAATGGCAAGTTGCTCTATCTATCCAGTTCTCAATTATCATAGACTGAAAATAAGATGAATAATAAATATTTGAAAGAAAATCTGATAATATCCAAAAAGACTGCTGCAACCACACTTCTCCCTCCTGCAGTAGGTCAGAGTACAGCTACATTTCTCCAGCTCTACTCAAGGACTTTAGAATCTACAACCCTGCTCTAGACACCTGAAAGCACAAGTACTGAAGAATTTTATAGTAGAGGATTAAGCATACTGGAGATTTTAAAAAATTGTAAGCTTTCTCTTTAACTTTCCTAAAAAACATGGGATAGTGTTCGCTTCAACAGCACATATACTAAAATTGGAATGATACAAAGAAGATTAGCATGGCCCCTGTGCAAGGATGACAAGCAAATTCGTGAAGTGTTCCATATTTAAAAAAAAAAAGGGATAGAAAATAAGGTAAAATTATAGTTACGTTAAAATTCAAAAAATTCTAAAATACCTCCCTTAATGTTATGTGAACATTTTGTTTACACAGACTTCAAAATAACTTGTTAATTTTTAAATGCATTGCTTATTTAGTAGGAAATTAATGTACCTGTCTCTCTGAATTTTCTCTAAGTGTTTCAATTGTTTTTTCAAGCTGAGCTTTTTCCTTCATTAGATCTTTGCTTAAATTCTGACAATTCTGAAGACTTTGCTTTTCTTGAACAATCTCATTTTCAAGAATTTCAACCTAGAGAAAATTAAATAACAAAAACAGTATGTTAAATATTGTACAATAATGGAAACTTTTCAAAAGAAAAGATAATCACTGAATAAAGGATAAAGTAGTTTTAATATACATATGATAAAATTTTAAGAATTCAGTATAAGAAATTCAAGTAGCCCCCCATGCTAATTTCAGGAAGTATATAAAATTCACACATATGACGCTTTTTTTTATCCTCTACATCTTTTTAGGAAAAATTTCAATTTCTAAACACAAAGAGACACAGTAGAATTAATGGCAATGATGTGCTATAGAAGATCTATACAAATCTTACTGAAAAATTATCTTGGCTTGAGTAAATTTATAAAGTACAATTTTAATTATAATAAAGGAATTTCAATAATCTAGGAGAAAGAGAATATAAAAAGATCGAATAAAAAGGTGAGAAATGATGGTACAGTACAAGGTTAATGAGGAAGCAAGAAAAGATTTGGTCTCAGAGCCTGTTGCCCAGTGGTCAGAGTGCCCACCACATACACCAGGGCTGGAGGGTTTGAACCTAGCCTGGGCCTGCTAAACAACAATGACAACCACCACAGCAACAAAAAACAGCCAGATGTTGTGGTGGGCACCTGTAGTCCCAGCTATTTGGGAGGCTGAGGCAAGAGAATTGCTTAAGCCCAAGAATTTGAGCTTGCTGTGAGCTGTGATGCCATAGCACTCTACCGAGGATGACACAGTGAGACTCTGTCTCAGAAAAAAGTAAATAAAAAAGAAGAAGAGATTGGGCAGTGCCTGTGGCTCAGTGAGTAGGGCGCTAGCCCCATATACTTAGGATGACGGGTTCAAACCCAGCCTCGGCCTAACTAAAACAAAAAAATAGCCGAGCATTTGGTCATGGTCCCAGCTACTCGGGAGGCTGAGGCAAGAGAATTGCCTAAGTCCGGGAATTGGAGTTTGCTGCTGTGACGCCACGGCATTCTACTGAGGGCAACAAAGTGAAACTCTGTCTCTAAAAAAAAAAAAAAAGAAGAAGAAGAGATTTGATTTAAAATAAAAAGGAAAGAGAAGGGGAAATAATAGAAAAAAGGGCTGAAAAAGACTGGAGCAAATATTCATATTTAGGTTTAAATTTATTTTATATCACACATTTTAGAGATATAATAATATTGGTGGTTAAGAAGTATGAAATAGTAAGTTCAAATTAACAACATGCTGAGCTATTGATTTTCCCATTATTTTATAACATACTGAACCAAGTAATAAAAACAAGAAAGGGAGACTCTGTACAATATTCCACTTTAAATTTAAATGTTACTTAATTTACATTACTTACCATGTCATAATTAAGAACTCTTGTCTAAGCAAGCTTAATTTTTCTACTTTAACATAAAGGAAAATAATCTCCTGATATCATCTCAAAAGCATTCAGTCACAAGTCTTTTTCAATAACTCAATTCAACATTAATTTATTAATACATGTTCATAAGCTTTTAGCTCTTAATTATTAGTTAATACAGATGGAAATATAGAAATAATTGTTACATAATTAAATTTGTGTTGTTTTTTATCAATGGGATTCAAATGAGACATCCAGTTTACCAAAAACATCTTTCATACAATGAATTGATCAAAAATTGCTTGAATCACTAAGAATTTACACATTAAATTTCAAGGCTAACATCAAAATGAAACAGTATCCTACAGACTCAATTATAAGTTCTAAAGGGCCACTCCTACTTTAACACCATATGATCATCAAATGCTTATTAAGATTATTTGGTTAGGCTCAGTGCCTGTAGCACAGTGGTTAAAGCACCAGCCACATGCACCAATGCTGGTGGGTTCAAACCCAGCCCAGGCCAGCTAAACAACAATGACAACTGCAACAACAAAACAAATAGTCAGGCATTGTGGCGGGCACCTGTAGTCCCAGCTACTTGGGAGGCTGAGACAAGAAAATCACTTAAGCCCAAGAGTTTGAGCTTGCTATGATCTGTGACACCACA